AGTAAATGGGTTGATACACTAGCATAACTGCAGGAATGTGAATACTTGGCTGGCTGATTAACCAAGTGAGAGATGGTGTCATCATAAAAGATAGTTTTTGGAGTCATGCAATATCTTAGTTCTGTCTTGGTTCACCTGATTCATGCTGGTGAGATTTTGGTGAATTATGTTGAAGGCATAGCAGGTAGGTTTATCAAGCAAACAATGATATAAAAAGAATAGGATGAAAAATTAGTAAACAGACAATAAAATCAGGATCCAAAGTTGTCCTTAAAATGCTATAATAACGAGCCAAAGTGGGGGCTGGGAGGTGGGGACTCGGGTAGCACTAGTGGTAAAGAACCCACTTGCCAATGCAGGAGACCTAAGAGATGCGGGTTCTATCCCTGGGTCAGGAAGATCCCCTGGAGGAGGGCATGGCAACCCACCCTAGTATTCTTGCCTGGAGAATTCTATGAACAGAGGAGCCTGGCAGGCTATATAGCCCATGGCGTTGAAAAGAGTTGGACATGACTGGAGTGACTGAGCATACAAAGAGGAAGTGGAATTAAAGACAAATTTCATAGCAAAGAATGCTAAGTCTTGATTTTATGTTAGAAACAAACATTTCCCAAGAAGAAGTTGGAAGATACTTGAAATATCTCATGTGAAAAAGGCTTGGTTTTAATTAGTTGTAGGCTTGCTCTGAACCAAAGATGTGACTTGGCTGCTATGATGGTAATGTAATCGCGTAGCAAATAAAACGTGTAGATCCAAAAATAATAACTACCAGTTAAAACATAATATCTCATGTATGTTATCTCAATAACTTTAAAAATTTTAGTTAGGTATTAATACCACAGGTATGTCCCCATTTTACTGATTGGGACATAGGTTCAGAGGAGTTAAGTAACTTGTTCAAGGTCACAGCTAGTTACTGCAGAATTAGTATTAAAATCTTTCCATTTTACTGTATTCTTTCCCTTGTTACATGTTCTTTTCCTATTGTACTCTGTAATTATTAGGTTAGCATATAGTAGATGATCAAAAACCGTAAGTGAATGAATAAAGGCATTGAGTCTAGGCTCTAACTATAACACAGAATTAGGTTCCATTTAGATACCACATTTAAAGGGTGATGTTGAAAATTCAAAGTGCATATTGAGAAAGTGGGCAGGGTAGTGGAAGATCTGCTATACACATGCTAAGTGGTAAAGGACTTTGGGATATTTAGTTTAGAAAAGATAGAGCAAATGGGAGATGATGGTGATATTACCATATGTGAAACATTTTCTCAGAAAGAGTAGAATGTAATTTTTTCTGTATTTATTCATGAGGCTGGTGTCTAAGGCAGCTTCTCCTCCTTCAGGAGGTGCTCAAATAGAGGCTGAGTGTAACTGGATCATGCATTCTTTCAAAGCAAAGTCCTTATATTCCCACCCCAACCCCAGGCCCTGCTCAGCACATGCTTGTTAAATTGCTGCTGGTCAGGTGTGTGGGAGAAACACTGCTTTGGGTACAAGTAATCTGTATTTGGGCTTCCCTTGTGGCTTAGCTGGTAAAAGAATCGCCTGCAGTGTGGGATAACTGGGTTTGATCCCTGAGTTGGGAAGATCCCCTGGAGAAGGGAAAGGCTACCCACTCTAGCATTCTGGCCTGGAAAATTCCATGGACTGTATAGTCCATGGGGTCGTAAAGAGTAGGACATAAATGAGTGACACACACACAATCTGTACTTAATGACCTCCAGAACTGTTCCAAATGTAAGGTACCAAATTTTATTGATATATGTTCCACAGTAAATGATTCTGCACCGTCCTATCCTACTTGGGACTTTAAGCTTGTCCATTATGTTCCACTAGTGGTCCCCAAAGTGTGGTTCAGGACTAGCAGTATTACCATCAGCATTACTGGGAACTTGTTAAAAATGCAAATTCTCAGGCTCCACCGTAGACATGGTGAATCAGAAACCAAGGCTGTAGGTGGATGCCCAGAAACCTGTCTTGTAACAAGCTTTCCAGTTGATTTTAAGGCCTTCTAATGTTTGACAACTGTGAGTTAGATGTTCCTGGCTGTCCCTGCCTTGGGTGTACACTAGAACTCAGTGAGACTGTGCTTTTTGAGGACAGAGTTCTGCCTTATTGCCTGGTACACAGTGAAAGTGCTGGTATGCATGTATTGAAACAGAACCCACTAGTTAAAGGATGATGAGCAAAGAATTTGATGGCACAAACTCCAAGGATTGGTAATCGTAAGCCAGGGTAAAAACATCCTCAGAAAAGAAGGTAGTTACCAATGTTGCTTAACAGCTTAAAAATTTGGCTATTTTAATATAATTATCACTAGCTAGCTATTGTCCCAAATAAGTAACAGCATTGGTTATAATCAATTAGCTCACTACATTTTGGAACTGTATTGCTTTAGCTACATCATGGTCATTGCTATATAAAAATGGCAAAGACAAGGGTTTTGCAGAATCAGTTCCTCCAAGGTGTTAATGATCTCCTGAATATTGTATTGGGTCCTTCCTATACATACTATTTGGTGACAAAAATATAATTTAATAATGATCCATTTAAGTAGACAATTATAGAAGTACATTTTTATTTCTAAAGAGATTTATGCAAATGGAATTTGAATAAATTAACTGTATTTTAAAGGTAGTAGCAAGGGGAGAAACAGAGCAAAGAACCAGCTCTTAAGTTTTCTGATTTCAAATCTCTGTATTGAGGTTATCTAATATGAGGAGAAAATTATAAAATATATAGTATAAAATGTGCATAGTTAACTTATATAAATTTAACATATGTATTCAAATGTGAGTTTATACATACTTATCTATCATCTCTCTACCCATCTATCTATTCATCTAGCTAGCCATCTGGCTCATGTAAAACAGGACAGGTGATTTCACCTGCCACTCCACTTAGAAAGGACATGTCCTGGAGAATGTGCGAAACGGGTTATATGGATCCCCCCCTCCCTTGGTTGATCTCCGTTCCCCGATGCACCTCATGGTGTTTCTATTGTACTGAGTATAATTCTAGTGTTTAGAGACATTATTTTTGGTACATTTGCAGATGCAAAACAAAACTACTACCCTCACCACCAAAAGCAGAACTTCAAATAAACACAGACAGAAGCTACAGAAGCAGAATGAGGCCTGGGCTTCGATTCACTTCTCTGGCACCTGGGCTTAGCTGTGAACTCACCCTGGCCCTCTGGGCCCCGTGACTCCAGAAGGTCAGCTAACACCTGGGTCACAGGGAGGGCTGCCGTGCACTCTGTCCTGACTTCTGGGAACTGTTCGCCTTGGTCACCTTCCTGAAGGGTGGGGCTCGGTAACTACCAGAGAGGAAGAGGGCCTTGCGGAAGAAGTCTCCCAGAAGCATCTGTAAATGTGGGGTGAGAGCCTCAGGTGGGGGTGCTCTAGTTCCTTTATGTTTCCATTCAAAGGGACTTTGTGACAGGTCACAGTTTACACGCCCTGGTGTCTGCACCTCTCCTGTGAGTTCCCCAGAGAGACAAAGACTTCTTTGCATCTTAATACTTCTCCCCCTACCTTTCTTTCCTCCAGGTCTGCAGTTTTCTGAATCCAAAAGCCACTGCAAAGGGCCCTGGACACACGCTTTGCAAATATGCCTGAGTAATGGACAATGTGTCCACATGGCACAATTTTATGGGAACTACTTGGCTAATATGTCCATTAATAAATAACTTTTTCAAGGCTTTAGCATGAGAAAGGTCTTCAGATTTGAAGCTCCTTCCTCTGTTTGCTAGAAAATTGCTTTGCATCATATCATAAAATGTTCTAGTTTGCAATGACAGATGTGTATAAAATCTGTGCATGGCTTTAAATTTTATTAATATTGGCTAATACCTATGGATACAATCACTAAATGGCATGTGGGTATATAACCACTTATCTAGACTGCATTCCTTAAATAAATAATGGGCCAGGGATAGAAAAATGCCATTTGTGTCATTTCTGCAGAGCCATTAAAGAAAACGTATGAAGTGGCTAAGCAGACAAAATGTCATTTCATGAAAACTAAACATGACTGACTCAAATCTTAAAAGTCTGAGTCATATATCAACTGATGTCATCAATGTATCATCCTTTTTCCCACTATTTATAAGTAACTCTGCCATCTTTATATTGCAAGTGCTTAAAATTTAAAGTTACACTAATGTTTTGCAATACTTGGGGTGTTCTTCAGAAAAGCAGTGCTCCAAATGCTGGAATATGCCAGCCTGGAATGACGTTTGTATTAGACTGCAGCAAAATGAGGAAAATCAGAAAAATGTAAATTTATTTGCATAAAGTTAGATTTATTAAATTTAAAGTATTCTCTTCTCTTTATTTTGAGATTTTTTCTTCCTACAGCCCTACTGGTCTATAAACCTATTTGGTCAGTGATATCTAAAAGTGTATAATAAGTAAGTAGAAAAACATCTGCTTTTATTTCTTTGCTTTTACCTTGTTCTATAAGAATAAAAAAAACCCAAAATAATTGAAAAAAATACCCTCTACGATTATTCTAATTCACATCTCTTGCTGTTGTTTATTCAGAAGGTATTGAGCACCCACATAAGCCAGGCACTAGGAGCATCTTGACCTTTGGAGAAGATGCTCAGTGATCTACATGAAACACAAACTTGATGAGAGCCTTGAGTTGGGCCAGGCCTCTCTTGGTTTGTGTATAGGTTTAACTTTCCAATTTCTGGTCTAAGCCAACAACTCTTGCCCTGTCCTGGACTCAACAATCTCCTGTGTCCAAGAAGGCGACTTCTACTGCCTGCTGGAGAAATCTAGGACTTACAAGTCTGGGATTTTGATCTATAGACATTTCAGACAATGTTCTGTTCTCTCATAAGCTCAATGATTTCTTGTTCAATAAAAATAAGCAAAAAGTAGGGGAGGGATCTCTGTTTTCTTTGTGATCCTGCAAACATAATCAATTGATAAGGCATTCCATGGTATAAAACATCCCCAGGAGACATGTGCCCAGAGAACATACCTTTCTGAAGTCACTCGTATCCTCTCATCATTGGACGAGTTGAATCGATCATCCTTTTCTCTGAAATATTCCTCTATGCACTGCTCTTCAAAATCATGTACTTTCTTGAGCTCATCATCAGTTATGAAGAGTTCTGTGGAAAAGATGAGAGATATGAGGCAGAGAAGTAAAAGCAATGAACCTGAGTTGTGGGCCTAATGACATTCCTAACTCAAATCAGGTTAGGGAATGGTGCCTCGATTCTTCACTGAGACTCAAACTAAATCCAAACCTGGTAAGGTGAGTTGTGTCATTTTCCTCTTTCTGGGTGTTAGATTCATTATGGACCTCTGAATCTCACCTAAGTATACCTGGTTTACTGCAGAGACTGGCTAGAATAATATATGTCGTAAGGATAATAGTGTAGCTAAATAAACAAAAGGGAAGCTATGCAGAGAAAGGTTTATTAAAAACTCCTGGGCTGAGCAGTATGGCAGACACACATTGTTCATTTGCCTTACTCAAAGCCCTTTGTAGTGCAATTTCCCCTCCCTCTTCCAACTATTGAGACTGGAAAGCCAAATATTTCCAGTATTCCTTGGAGTTAGCAGCAACCAAGAAACACAGTTTGGCTCAAGGTACAAAAAAAAATACGCTGCAGGAAAGGGTTGACATTTCAATCCACACCCCACCTCCAACGCCTTTTTCTTTCAAAGGTATTGGAAAGAGATTTTGGTTTCCTGAGAAACTACAGGTATGGGGTTGATTCTTTCTACCTTTTTTCATCTTCATACTTCTTTATGCCTTGAACATGAACATGTGAGGACTGGAAGTACAGCAGCTATTTTGCTCCTGTGAGACAAGAGAGTGTGACAGGGAATAGCTAAGTCTAAAAATAGGCTTGGGGTCTTTGACTTTAGTGGGTCATTATTGAGCTCTGGGCTATTTACCTTATCACTTTTTGTAGTAAAACCTTACTTATTTGTGCTATTGTTCATCTGGTATTCTGTTTATAGCGAGTAAACAAAGTAGTAACTGATACAGTGGTAGAAAGAGCCCAGTGGAAATCTGAACCTTTTCTCCCTGAGCTTTCGACTTGCCTAAATGGGTATTTCAAATGGAAACAGTGAATTTTGGTCTTAACCCCTCTCCAACTTTCTAATTTTAATGTCTCGAAAGAGGTCAGGCATTGCTATGTCAAAGAAATTGTTAAAAGCTTCAGATTTAGAGAAACAGTTGACTATTAAGTGGCTTTGGTTTCAAACTTCAGTTGCACTAGTAATCACCTGGAGGTAATTCTTGGGCCATGATCCTAAAGGCTCTGATTCAGTAGATTTAGTGTAGGTGGTCTATTTTATACTCATTGAGAAACCACAGGAGGTTGCTTGTATGGGGTTGGATCTCACTGTTCTTAACAGTGGGTGTACCCGGGGGACATTTAGGAACTTGCAGGAGCTGTTAGTATTCAATGAGTGGAGGCTGTATGTGCTAAATCTTCTACAATGTGTGGAACAATTCTATATAATAAAGAATTCTTTCCCCAGTTGAACCTCCTTTTAGAAATACTAGGCTAGAAGGTGGTTGGGAGAAGGTCTTTTTTTATACTTGGATTATGGAAAAAACTGTTGGTTTCCTCATGAAGTTATATAGGAACAACCCCTAAGGCTTGGGAAATGTTTAAGACCTAAAAACACGATAGACCCAAAAACAATCATAGAAAGTCAAACTTAGTCACCTACAACTCTGCCTGTCAGGATGCTGATTTATACAGTAGCATTGGGAGCATATTAACGTGGTCCATATATCTTGTGGTGGGATGTCTGGCAAGTAAGAAGCTTAGAACCTCTGAAGGTGCTAAGACAGCCCTGCTGGAGCCTGGTTTTATCTAAGAAAGGGGAGAGGTTAAGAATGCTCAATTGCAGGCTCTCCTGTCTTCTTTCCAGCACCATTTTTTCATCGAGCATACCCTCTATCCCTCCCAAGTCTTCAGAGCTGTGGGCAGGAAGCAGGAGGAACCAGGTGCCAGGTGGTCCTGTATGATCCCTTACAGAAGCAGTGGGGATTCCTGCTCTGTAGTTGCCGGGGGTTGTCACCCAAAGCTTACTCAGGCCATAGTCCCTTTCATCTGGGTCACTCTCGTGTTTCCTCCATCGGCAACACAGGTGCTGGAATATCATGGTCATGTGGCTGAATATGATCAGAGGTGGGGGCAGAACGGGCCTTTCATGGAAAGTCATGATGAGTTGATACCTCTGGAACTTCCACACTTGATTGGATATTGATTTTACCTCAAAAAATGTATTGCTGAAAAAAAGAGACCAGAGATAATCAAGTGAGAAACACCTTGCTTTCCACAGCACCACACTCCCCTCCTGCCTCAGTCTCCCTACTCTGTTCCAAGGGTTCTGAAGAAAGACCCTCTTACTTAAAGACAGCGATGAGGAGGTTGACCAGTAGGATGTTTGCCACTAGGAGGTAGCAGGCCATGATGGCCGGCACGATCCAGGCTCCTGTCTTGCAGGGGGGCAGTTGGATTATTTTACCATCCTCTCGAGTCTCATTCTGTCCACAGGGAGCTGAAGGAAGCAACACAGGCAAGATGTGAGAAATTGTGTGGCTCTGGGATTAAAATCATAGACTGATTTGAATGAGAGGGTTTTTCTTTTCTTTTCTTTTTTTTTAGATGAAGGAAAAATACAGCCATCTCAAAACAAACAGAAAAGAATTCCAGAAAAGCCTAAATAAACAAACAAAAGCTTCATGAATATCCCTAGGGGCTGCCACTGCAGAGGGAAGTTGGTTCTGCCAGTTTCCCGAGTTAGTCATCTGAAAGAGGTGGGTGGAGCCCCCTGCTGGCTGGCTGAGTCCCTGGGGCACCGGGTCTCCCCAGGAAGCCTGGTGAGGGCTTTCCAGAAGCTCAGGAGGGGCAGAGTCTCATCGCCCCATCATGTTACTTTCAAAATGTGCTGTGGGGGTCAGAAGCCGACAGCTGGAAGAGCAGCAACATCGAGAGACTGTCGATTGGGAATTAACACCAGGGCAGCTGTTAATTGCTGCAAGGAACAACCCAGGGGCTCTGAGTTAATGATCTGCTGTCTCGGTGTGGAAGGAACAAAACAGGGCAGCGCCTTGGGAAGGATTTAGGAGGCAGTCACTCAGAGCTCCTGACGGATGGCATTTCACAGGGGGGACAACGAGGGGCCATGGGCTGGGACCCTGGAGCCTGGGGCCACCTGCTTTTTTTCCAGCAGCATTTCCATTCCAAAAACGTGCTTCTCAGGGCACAGGGAACAAAACCCAACTGCACTGAATAAACGAACAAGTAGAGAAAAAGAAAAAGTCTGGAGGTGGGGGTGAGGAGGAAAGTGATGGGTGGGACTTGGGTGAGCGTGAGTAATGTGCTAATGAGGCCTGCTTGGAGTTTCCGGGTGAATCCAGGGGAAAACAAATCCTTGACAAAGCTCCTCAGGGCTGCACAGACTACATAGCCCAGCAAGTGAGATGGTGCTGATGGCTGTGAGTGCCCAGGGGTAGGTGAGGTCGCCCTCCGATTCCAGCTGTCTAATGCCCACTTTACAACAGGGTCCTCTTGCATCTCTTTGTAAAAGAGATGTGGGGTGTGAAGCAGGCACAGCAGTTGATATAGGCAACTTCTGAAGATCTGCTGGGCAAGTGTGCAAAGTTGACCGAGAATCTTGGCTGGAGGACGGCAAGGGGAGTCCATTTCCTTCTCAGGAGTTAAGGTGGCTAGGCTCTGTGCTCTGCAGTTGTTCTCAGCCCTGACAGCACTAGGGATCTTTAAAAACTGCCAATGCCCACCCCAGATAATTGAATCAGAATCTTTGAAGGTGGCCCTGGCATTGATATTTCTTTCAAAGATTTCCCAAGTACTTCTCAAGTGCCACTAACGTGAGTCTACTAAATTAAAATTAGGCTGGAAAAATTTTTGATTTTTGATATGCTTTTAAGTCCAAAATACATCTTCTCAACTTATGAGGGTTTTAATAATATCAGGTCACCAAGACTCTGTTTTAATGGCCAGGAAAAGATGCTCAAAGTGCTTCCTTTGGATGTGTCTGCAAGAGGATCAGGGGTGTATGGAATCAGGTGTTCTCAAAGAGCTGGCATCTTTTTTGTTGTTGGCAGTTGTGTCACTACTGACCCAAGACAGCTCAGTGAGGGGTCCTGATCATTTCCTCCTTGGGAATGAAAACCCAATGACAGAGGCCCTCACTGGCTCCAGGATGAAGCCCAGACTCCAAGGGTAGTTAGCGTGGTGCCATCTCTTGCCACTTTCTACCTCTCCCTCTGAGCACCAACTAGATCAAGTTTTTGCAGTTTCCCAGAAATGTCATGCTCTCTCTTACTCCCTGATTTTGAGCCATGCTTCCAAAAGGCCCCTCTGACACCTTACTCCTAACTCCCATACTTCACCTGGGTGAATCCCAGTCATTCTTCGGTGCTCACTTAGCTTTTGGCTAACTTTCTGCTCCTTTTCAACCAGGACTGAGATAGGTATTGACAGAGGTCCTCTACTTGACCAAACTCGACTCAGGCTCTTCTGTGGCCTCAATTTGTGCACTTCCACATTTGTCTCTGCATTTGTCCAATTTTAGCAAGAATTCTGCTAAGTACATTTAGCCAGAATCCCCATCCTCAGTATCTGATCACCATCAACATTTGATCACATTCCTTATCCTCCACTGTCCTCCATCTGAAGTGTGATCACCCTGACCTGTCTTCAGTAAAAATACATTAGGTCAGGTAAGCCAGAAACCCCCCTTACTCCTGATGTTTCCTCTTAGTGATCTTCCATCCACTGACACACACCCTGCTCTTGGCTATAAACTTCCCTTTTATTTTTCACCCAGAGTCAAACCCAGTCTCTCTTTTCTATTACAGAATTTCATTGCAGTAGCCCCCTTGAACAAAGTCTTCCTTTACCAAATGTCATGAATAATTTTTTCTTTAGTAATTCTGTCTTCCTTATAATCCCTTTGTTTGCCCCTTTGGCAGGGGCGGGGTGGGGGGGAATGGGGCTTCTCAATACTCTATCACTGTTGCCAATTTACTGGTCTTTGTGTCCAACATAAGATTCCCAGTGGGAACATATCTCTTCATGGTTTCCCATCGCAGCTCAGGATGTACACGCAGCACATTCACACACATCCACATGTGAAAACTATTTGTTGAGTGACTAAAGGAGATCATTAAATACAGTTTGGTTTCTGAGCACTAACATCCACCATAGCTCTGCAAGCCTACTCATCTTGGACAGTTCTAGTTCTAAGCAGTTGCTGGCACCTTTTGCCTTAGGTCGTTTCCAGAAATCCTACCCGTGGCCTGGCAAGAAAGCTTCTCAAGCTCAACCAGATGCCTGGGTCTCTGATACCCACTTGGCTGTAAGCCTCATGGACTAGCTCACTTTGCTTTGCTCTCTTCAGCAAAGCTTACGATCCCTACCCATCCTACCTGCTTCCTCCCGGCTCGACCTCTTTTGGGGCTGTCAGACCTGTGCTGCCCTTTTCTTTGGTTTCTGCTCAGATCTCTATGAGGAAGCTGACAAACAGCAGTAGAAAGAGCTGCTTGGGGTAAGGGGCAAAGGGCACATAGTCTTTACAAGTGTGATCCCTATCTCCATTTAATATCATTCTGTGATTTCTCTTTACATTCTGAGAGAATGTAAAATAAACTTGTGAGGGGCAGGACTCATCCATCTTTTGACCTCATATTTATTTATTCATTTTTGGCCACACAACATGTAGGATCTTAGTTCTTCAATCAGGAATCGAACCTGTATGCCTTGCATTGGAAGCTTGGAGTCTTTACTATTTGGCTGCCAGGGAAGTCCCACTGACCCCATATTTAGTGAAGATGCAGACACTTCCTCCACTAGAGAAAAAAACTTTCTTCCAGCCTACAGAAAAAACCAGTGAGAACAGTAGGTGCTTCCTAGTTTTTCAGGTGGCCCATGCACATGTCCATGAGTCTTCAGATAGTGTCATTAACATGTCTCTGGATCTCTGCTTGGTTTCCCTACTAGTTACAAAATTGGACCAACTCATTATCTTTATATAAGATTTGCTTTGCTTTGGTGTCATCATAATTGGCTCAGGGAACTCTCTGACAATCCTGTGAGTATTGATTTATTCCACCTTCCCCCAATTTTTTTCCATCCTGCCTTTATAGAGTGGTAGTAATACTTCAGGGTTAGAAACATGCATTTTAATTCAGCAGATGTGTGTTCAGATCCTGATTCCACCACTTTCAAATGATGCTATGTTAGTTTACTCCATGAACTTCAGCCTTCTCATCTGTAAAAGGGATAGTATATATGGGGGAGATCGTCAAGATCTTTAAATGAGGTAATGTTGGAGAGAACTTATCTCAGTATCTAGCACTCAGCACTTTAACAGCAACAGTGATTCACATTAGTCGGTGTCATCGTTGGTTATTTTTGTAATTAATAGACTTGAAGCTTCTCAAGGTTAGGGACTATGTCTTGATGCTCTTTATTCTGCAATCACTAAGCATAGCACTTATTCTACAAACACTTGTTGAGTGGTTATAACATGCTGCATACAGGAGATGCTGGCGGTTAAAGAGACAGTCCCTGTTGCTAAGGAACTCACAGTTCAGTAGGCGGCACAGAAAGGAACAGACATCACATTTGGGTGATATGAGCGCTGCTGGGGGCTCTGAAGAAGCAGAACTGCTGTAGCCCCTCTAGCCAGAGTGACACCAAGCAGGCTGCTAGTCAGGATCAGCCTTAAGGACCGTTATCTAGATTCTACAACAAGTGCAGTATAAATGAATTAGATGATCCTTGTGGCAGTGATAATGATAATAAAAATGAATCAGTAAGAAAGTCTTCATTTGGTAAAATCAGCAAAGAGGCAGTGAACATTATATGCAACAGTTAGTGCCAAACATTGCTTTGTAATGGCTCCTAGCCACGTCCTTGTTCAGAGTATTTATCTGTACTAGAAGGTGCTATGACTCAAACTTACAGGTGTCTACAACGGATGAAGATGAATGGGGTGCCTTAAGGCAGGACAAGCAGCAGATTTTAGGATGGAGAATAAGTTATCTGGACTGTAAAATGGTCCCAACCAGTATCTGGGGTTCATATTCCCGGGGAAACACTCCAGGGCACATAAACCCAAGATGGCACATGGGTGGATGTTTGGGAATATGTGGGCTGGTAGTTACCACTGTACCTCCTCCTTCTCTGCTTTGGAACCTGATGCAAGTGGTTTTTCTCCCAACCCTTTTGCAAAAAGTAAAGGTGGAGTCACCGCCACTTTCATACCAAATGACAAGTTGTCACCTTCCTCTTTGTTTGCGACAGTCAGAGCAGAGTGCCTCTAGTGCAGGAGCCCCCAACCTTTTTGGCCCCAGGGACTGGTTTTATGGAAGACAATTTTCCCACAGATTGGGGTAGGGGATGGTTTTTGGATGACTGAAGCACATTACATCTGTTGTGCACTTTATTTCTGTTGTTATTACATCAGCTCCACCTCAGATCAACAAGCATTTGATCCCGGAGGCTGGGGACCATTGCTCTGGAGGAGGT